GTGAGGGCCCACTTCATACAAAGCCACAATATGGGATGGTACCCATTACGGTAATATTAGGGTTATATTGGGGTTATATGGGGGATAATGGAAAAGAAAATGGAAACTACCATAATGGGTTATATGGGTGGTTGTCAAGATTATGTCCCTTTTGGATCCCTATCACAATACGGCACCTAATATTTTGGGTACCCAAAAAAGGACCATAGTTTTGACAACCACCCACATGGATATGCGGAATATGTACAGCTGTCTTTACGAATTGGGCTTTCTATGGCTGACCGGGAAGTCTCTCAAAATCGAGGATCTCTTCTGAGGGCGCTGTTCAATCTGAACTTCAAACGACCGTTGAGAAAATCCCAGTCGAGATACTGTGCATGAACAAATAGAGACCTGATCCAGATATTGCCCCTATATCTATACAGTAGTTTCCATTTCCTTTTCCATTATCCCCATTTTTATCCCCATTAATTAAGGGGAGGGGGTTAGAGGGTTCGTCAATCCCTTAGCTTGATAGATCGGGTAGGAATTTCATGAATGACATATCTTGGGGGATCTAGTCACGTCATTCCTCTGACCTGCTGCTTGTTTAGGCCGTCTGACATCCCCACCCCTTCGACGGGTAGATGACGCCTTTCGTTGCAGACCTGGATATGTTTGCAACTATAAAAAACAATAGGCATAGCGACAGGCTACAAGCAACGACAAAGCTGAGGTCCCCAAGCAGTATCCCACGGATGATGTACAAAAGCTACGTTTATCATATGCCTCTGCATCGCCGATTTGAACGCGCAGTTCTGATTGGGGCAACGTGGCTATGTGACAAATGCATGCATTCACTACTCAAAGCGTGCTCTGCTTTGTGTATACCCGGGTGTACTGAAGCAGTTTACGTAGTCATTAGTCCACGCGGACACTCAAAAAGGTCGTGTGCGTGCGTACCAGGACCACAGTTGAGGTCCCACTTTGTAAAGCAGTACGTTGGCACATGAATTGGCTCTCTACATGGGCCTCCATTTTAGAGGAACTCCTTCCACGCACGAACATCGGTATCAAAGGATAGCGCACATGGAGCATCTACACAGCAGTGTTCTGCTCAATCAAGCTTCGATCGTCTTCTCTGCAGGGAAGTCCCCAGAAGTGACCCAAGGCCCACATCGCTGGATGAGGTCGTTCACCTGGTAAATGGGGGTCTCATCCCAGACTGTCCATGATTCAGGGCGAGTGGGGGATTTTTGTGGATGATACTGGGTTGGCCCCTAAAACCCTTTGAAAAATATTAGTATATAGGGTCCCTTATTAAAGCCACTAGGGAAAATTTCAAATATCCCAGGGGCCTACCCAGGATAACACTTGCTTTTTGTAGAGCTCCTGAAGACTCGAAGGCGCGTCAGAATGAGCACCTGCAAAGGCGACTAAACTGAGAGCTTTCCGAGAGTGGCCCGTGCTTCCAGTCGCTAAGCATTCCAGTGCTCAGATGTGCTCCGCTCTGGCATGTGCTAGGGGTTGCAATAATACCCCTCCCAGATGTGAGCTCTATTCGGCCTTATTTAGCCCTGTACAGTCCTTCTTAGCTATTGGAACCCTAAAAGAGTGTACCTTGGGGGGTACCATTGCAACGCCGTAATAGCGACAGCGGTTGCAGGACATTCACTTGCAACTACGCCCTACGCCAAGTTCACTCATTCAAAACCGGACTGGCGCGGGCAGAGTCCATGTTGGCGGAACAAGCAAATCCGGATCCTGTGGCGCTAAACCCCTGAAAGTCAACAGAAAACGTCAAAGACTGACTCCAAGACCTACACCCAACACCCTGACCCCCACACCTGAAACCCCAATCTAAACCCCATCCCTAAACCATAAACACCGAAGCCCACTGTATCCCTATGAACCTCATTTTCCATGTAATTGTCAATCCTTCTTCCATTCCCGAGATAATATCGCTAAGCCCCAAACCCTAAATACATTTATTTTCTTCTCCATTCCCCCTACATACCCATATGTTCCAAATATAGCCCACCGCCATATATGGGTGGTTATCAAAATTATGGTCCCTTTTTGGGTCCTATTATAATACGGCCCCTAATATTTAGGGTACCCAAAAAAGGACCATAATTTTGACAACCACCCGTATCTCTATGCAGTCCCTACATAGCCCTAGTTTCCATTTCATTTTCCATTTGTTTTTGCAATTGGTTCTCCAGCATTAATAATTTCCATGTTAGTTTCCATTCCCTAAACGCTAAACCCCCCCTATATGACCCCTCTGAAGCCCTGGACCACTGCATGGCATTGTGCTCCGCCGCGGTGCATGGCGCATGCTCTCCAGCATCGCAGCACCGCAGGACTTCACGGAAGGGTGCTCCGTGACCATAAGCGCCTAGCATTGGGGGCCTTCATAAGTGTGCAAGGTTTGGGATGCAGATTTCTGGTTTAGAGTCGTTTAGAGCGGCTTAAAGGTCTGAATGATTTGATTCATTATGGGCATCACAGCAACATGCCTGAATGTTCTGAACCCCTTCTCAAATTGTGAGAAGCTCTGGTAATCTCTGGCCAGACTCTTGAATGTTCAGAAGTGTCTTCAGGTGCGAGAGCTCATTAGCCACAAACTTTGGTTTCCACCCTTCTGAGGTGAACCCGAAACAGCCTCGACCCTGTCCTTGAATCGACTCTCGGACAGGAAGAGTGAGCGCAAAATCCCAACGTAAACCCTCAACCCCCACAGAATTCAGGCTAGTGACCCCAGAAGCAGCCATGGTGAGTCAGCTTTCAAAGCTTCTGCAATAGCACCCAACGAGCCAGAAACGTAGACCGGTTTCGGGTTTAGGGTTTCCCCCCAGTCCCTAGAAGCCCCAAGCCTCACTTCCTTGACTTTCATTGTTCGACTCCAAACCCATACTTTCAACCACGAACCCTGAAACTCAACCCTGCCTAACCCTGGACTCTAATCTTACTGGGGAGCTAGTAGGGAAAAGGGAATTTATGATATAGGAATTCTATAATTATATAGGTATTATATTCCCTTGTTCCCTACGAACCACCCGTAAGTAATCTAAGCCAGCTCAGAATCCAAGTCCAGGGTGCCATCGTCCTCTTTTGGGAGGGCTCAGCGGTGTAGGGTTGTGGGCTTGAGGTATACAACCCTAAACCATAAACCTTTGTTTGGGTTTTTGGTTGAGGGGGGCTAGGAACAGTCTTGGGGATCGGGATCGTAGTTGCTGATGCCAAGCCAGTGAGCCCTAGGCTGTGTGTGCGGTCAGGCATCCTAACTTACTCCTGAAAGTATTCTAAGGTGGGTTTCTGGTTTCGATCGTCTGGAGTTCGGAAGCAAGCGCATTGAGTCAAACAGATTGATCTTCAGGCTTTAAAGAGTGAAAGGTGTGGGCTCTTCCAAGCAAAGGAATCACCATTCTCACGCCAAAACGTTGATATTCCTGTGGCAAGGATCCGCTTAGAAGAGGCCCCGGGACTTTGGAACGACGTGGAAAGACAGGGGTGGTGCCTGCTCTCTACATGGTAGTTTTTCAAAATAAGGGAACCCAATACAAACCCCAATATACATATGTTGCCATTATCAACCTCAATACCTCACCGTGCAGAGATGTGGGAGGCATCAGAACCCCCCTTGGCAGTCCCGGCTGTGGAT